TCTATCTAGATAGCTATATCTATCTATCTCCTCGGGACGCCAGTGACCAGATGCTGTCGGTACATAAGAGGACCGCCATAGACTACTGGTAGAATGCTCGATTCGGGGAGTGACGGACCCATGTTCGAACCCCCGACGGGGCGTTTGGAAGGGCATCCAGCCTTATTTCCCCTGCATCAATCCGTCTGTGTCCAGCTACAAATCGGGACTAATTGTGACACACAAAACATAAATTAAAATAGATTTGGTTCCACTTTCATACTTGTACTCATTATACCTGCTGATTGGACAGGGTCTAGGAGACTACATACACCCCTACTGTACCTTGGGTATGTGAGATAAGTCTCTAACACATTATATAAAGATTTTGGAAGATCCCAGATGGGCACAGATTTAGACAGACATAGATAGGCCTATGTCTGGCTACTTTCCATTAGAACGGGGTCATGGCTATGTTTTTGCTGGTAACTAAAGTTATATATATATATATATATATATATATATATATATATATATATATATATATATATATATATATATATATATAATATGAAGGTAAACAGAAAGCTCCCACAAAGCTTAGACAGTTTTTTTTCTTTTTCTTTTTTTTAAATATACAGTGGCCTAAAGCAGTAATTGTTGCAGATCTCTGTGAAAACTGGTTTCTTAATAATAATAATTATTGTGATGATAATAATAACAATAATAATAATAATAACATCAATTTCTACATAATTTATTAAGTTAACTTACTTTCTCCTTGTAATACTACTACTTCTACTACTACTACTACTACTACTACTACTACTACTACTAATAATAATAATAATAATAATAATACACAGCGAGCTTGTTACTAACTCTAAGCCTAGCACAAATTTTTATTTTGGACAATATATTTTTCTGTATTATTTTATTTATTTTTATATTTTATTCGAACAGGTTTAGCCCTTTGATCCTATATTGAAAAACCTTTGCTTTTGATGCCATTTCTCGCTAGCTATTCCTAGATTCTATTGAAAAAAAAAACAGCTAAATTCCTAGATTTTATTAAAAAACTCGCTAAAAATATTGTTATATTTTTAACCCTCTGGACAGATAACATCACAAAGATCTATATATTTTTTTTTTTTAGTTTTTTATGTAAGTGTGAAATCGAAAATCTTTTTAATTGCTACATTGGCTTTCAGTGTCAACCGCTCAATATATATATATATTTTTTACTCCGATAAGCCATGATTTTATAAACAAACGAAATATGTTTTGTGGCGGTGTGTGTGTTTTTTTTTTTTTTTTAAGAACTTCCATTTTCTCTCACGTGTTGCTAACAGACGATTCTGCGCATGCGTAAACCAACATTAATCACACTTGTACATGAATAGTTCTTGTTTCCTTTGTATTGATCTGTTTGCTTTTTGCCAGTAGCTGTTAAGGTCCAATTTTCCCAAAGGCCTTGTTACTGTTTGCCCAACCAGAAAGGAGCTTTTTTTCATCGGCTGTTGGTGGTGGAAATAGGAACAGAATTGCGTTCAAGATAAAAACGTTCTTGGTACTGCTTGTTTTGTGTCTTGGAAGATTAAAAGACAGATTTAGGAGATGGATTCAGAAGCTCTGTCTAGAGAGAGGTCTGAAAGTTATGTGAGACGGACTGATAGATGTGTCTGAAAACTTCTGACTTGACCTGACTGGGTTAGACTAGTTCTAAACCTTTTTCTGTATATGCACCCCTTTCAAATCAGCAGTCAGTTCTCGCAACCCCCCCCCCCGATTGCCGAAATAAAAAAAAATGCTAAAAATACAAAGTTGATGTGATGTGTATTAATAACAAAACCACGTTTTATTTAGAACGTTAGGTGTATCTCTATCTCAGAGCACCGCTGAAGCAAAAAGGCTTAATTATTCATAGGCATCCTCGCACCCCTTAGGAACCGGCCTTGCACCCCGTAGGGGTGCGAACACCCTTGGTTGAGAATCACTGGACTAGAGTGAAAGTGAATCAGAGGACATAATATCAAATAACTCCAATCAGTATTCTCAGAGTTCGGTGTATTTAAGTTGAATAACAAACACTTATTATATATACTTTAATCAAGTATATTTGAGCTGAGTTACAATGATGGGGAGTGTTTGTGACTTGTCAGATATGAAGGGATTATAAGAGATGTGTAACGAGTACATCAAAGTATAGGAACACTTAACATCGAGCTGTCCTGGCCAGTCCTATCTATCTATATATATTAGCCATTTTCCCCTTGTACGGGGAGTGGCCGAGTCAAGGCATAAAATTCTGACTCTTTGGGAAGAGGAAATACAGAGGAGAGGCTTCCCAATCCCCTCGCTCCTCCCCATTTATTCGACTCTTACAACACGCAGGGGAATCCGGAGGAAGTATTCTAGCCCCCCTCTCTCAGCTTACTCCCTCATTATATGTTGGGGTAAATGTTTGGGGGCCTAGTATATAAGAGTGTATTACCGTATACACAATACAAGAATTTATTCAGTATTCTTGGTAGTCAGTGTATTAATGAGGAACAGTGAAAAGCACCATAGAAAGTTTTTCAAATATTTCGAAACTCACTTATTCGAGTGAATATCTTACCTCTTTTTTTTTATACAAATATTTGGGGTTATGTATATATACCAGTGGTTTAAGTTACACATATCACATGATTCACTCTGTATTCTTGGGCTTCAATGCATATAATTGGAATAATAAAGATTTTTCTAATAAATTTATGCAAGTATTTTCTATTAATCTCATTCTCTCTTTTTCAACAAACGTGAGTTTACTTACTGGTCAGAGCTACTTTTGATATCTTTCTATATATATATATATATATATATATATATATATATATATATATATATATATATATATATATATATATATATATATATATATATATATATATATATATATAAGATCCATATTCTCTTAAAAGGGGGCTGGCTGAGTCATAGCAAAATACCTTGACTCTGTGGGAGAGAAATACAGAGGAAGGGATTTCCAGTTTCCTCGCTCTGCCCCATTTAGTCGACATTTACGCCACGCAGGGGAACACTGAGGAATAACCTGTATTTACATTTGCGTTTTATGTCACTGAAATCTTATTATGGGAGTGGGCACAGACAATGTTGGACTGGGAAAAAGCTGAATATCCTTCTTAGCGCCCCACGTGGGTACAATCTCAGGTTTGTCAATTCCCGAGGCGAGTATTCTAACCACTACTCTACCGCATTCCCCTGTGGTATATTATTAACTTTATATAAATGTTTTTTTCTTTTTTATTTATATCTGCAGATTTCTAGTTATAGTTTTCTTTATCACGTTTGTCATTAAAGCTGTTTTATACATACATACATATATACATGTCCTCATTCCCCCTTGTAAGGGGGGTGGCCGTGCCAAGAAACGCTCATTTAGCACGATTCACACATACCTCAACTACTACTCTCAGCTCCTTGAGGATAAAGGGCTGCCTTCTTTCCTCTCCCTTCCACCCTGCTTGAGTCACCACAAGATGTTTCATACATACATTTACTTATGTCCTCATTCCCCCTTGTAAGGGGGGTGGCCGAGCCAAGAAACGCTCATTTAGCACGATTCACACATATCCCAACTACTCCTCTCAGCTCCTTGAGGATAAAGGGTTGCTTTCTTTCCTCCCCCTTCCACCTGCTTGGGTCACCCACCCACAAGATGTTTCATAAGTTGAACAATATTGATTATATTAACTTTCGTGATCAAGTTTGCCGATAAATGGCCTTTAGTTTTATTAAAGAATTTTAATTAAAATTTTTACAAATGTCAAAATTTTTTATGTACACTTATTTATTATATTTAATTATGCTCTAGTTTTATATGTTAATGTATTTATTTATTTTGCATAATGTTTATTCAAGTATTTACTTTTTCTATAGTTCGTAAAAAAAAATTCTGAACTAATTTATTTACCTTGTAGATATAAAATCTCAAATTTATAAAATTTAGGAAACTGAATATACCTATGCTTAAAATGTTAAGTTTTTATTTCAAGTTTTTTCTCGACCTTAGGAATAGTTTTTGAAAAATAAATTTAGTTAAGTTTTTTATTAACCTCTTTTTATTGATTTTTTTTAATTAACTCGAAAATTTGAGTCTTGGCTTAAATCAATTGCTCACCAATTCTTCCAAAAACAAACAAGCAAATAAACACACTGTGTTTGGGTCATGCTCATGTTTTGCGGCGTTCCTAAGTAGGTTGTGTTTGGCGTTTGTGCGTGTTTATGCTCTATGGCGAAACGGTAGACAAAACTTGATATTCAAACATCATTTGTTTTAAAACATATTCTCGTGTTCTTGCATTGAGAAAGGTACATTAGTTTGGAAATCGGGAAAGTTTCATGTTTTTATGACGAAAGCCAAAAAATTGTTGCGCGCGTGAATGTGCGTGTGTGTGTATGTGTGCGTGTATGTATGCATGTGTGTGTGTGCATGTACGTATCTGTGTGTGTGTTCAGATTTCCCAGCAAAGCATTACCTCTGTTTATGCGAAACGGTAGACAAAACTAATATTCAAGCAACATCTTGTTTTAAAACAGACTCTCGTGTTTTCTTTGAGAAGGCGAATTACTTTTGAAAATCAGAAATGTTTCGGTGTTTTATGACGACAGCAGAAATATGATGTGTTTGTGTTTTTCTGACACATTTCTCCAGCGTATTTTATTGTGAAGCTTTAGACATCCCATGTTTTAAAAACATTTTTACGTGTTTTGAGATGTATTGAATGGTGATTAAAGGGAAGCTTACACGGTCAAACGGTTCGTCGAACGCGGTTCGACAGACAAGTGTTTGAAGTGATGTTCGATGGTGTGAACGGGGTATTTGGTTGTCGAACACGTTCCGTGTTCGACAACCAAATACCCCGTTCACTCGTTCGAACATCACTTCAAACACTTGTCTGTCGAACCGCGTTCGACGAACCGTTTGACCGTGTAAACCCCCCTTAAGGCGAGAATTTGCCCGTGGTCGAGTGGTAACGCTCACGACTTTGATTCGTCAGGTCGTGGGTTCGAGGCCTGCCACGGCTTGAGGCTAGAAAGGGACATTCATTCAGGGTAATGGTCGCACTTGCCAAAACCTTAGTCTATCGCAAGAAGGCACAGTCCTAACCCTCAATAGAAAAGGGAGTTCGTGACGTAAAACCGATCATATAAGTATTTGCCTCCTGTTCCTTAGGTCTGGGGGCCTCCCCAACTGACCTGGTGCCTTGTTTATCTCTTCATTTATTTAATTTCACGTAGATTAAATTCTCTATTTGGGGTGTGATTTATATTATTTCTGGGTTCCCTCAACTCACCTGTTGCCTTGTTTATCCCTTCATGTATTTAATTTCACGTAGATTAAAATGGCTTTTTGGCCTGTGATTTACATTATGTCTGGGTTCCCTCAAATCATCTGGTGCCTTGTTTATCCCTTCATTTAGTTAATTTCATGTAGATTAAATTGGCTATTTGGCCTGTGATTTATATTATTTCTGGGTTCCCTCAATGCACCTGATACCTTGTTTATCTCTTCATTTATTTAATTTCACGTAGAGTACATTGGCTATATGGCCTGTGACTTATTTATTTAATTTCACGTAGATTAAATTCTCCATTTGGCCTGTGATTTATATTATTTTTTCTCTCTCTTTCCAGCTGTCGATCTAGCGGCAAGTTCGAACGTGCAAGATGCGTTCGTCATTGCCGTCGAGCAGCAGGCCCGAGAGCGCCTGGAACGGCTCTCAGCCCTCAAGAAAATCAAACCAGTGGATATGACGAAACTCTCCACACAGGTCAGTTCAGCGTTGTTTTGATCAATTTTACGTGTTTTTTTTTTTTTTTTTTTTTTGGGGGGGGGGGTCAGTTTATGCTGTTTAAGTGATTGTTTCTTTGAACTTTGGGTTTAGAGTTTTTTTTTATTTTATTATTATTTTTTTTTTAAGGCTGTAGAATGGAGCATTTGAGCATGAGGTAGGAATTGCAGAAGAGGCAATATTCCTGGAGGAGGGTTTATGGAATGGGCATATAGGGTTTGGTGTGTTAGATGAGGCAGTAGGAGGGGAATTTATGGAATGGTGCTTGCTGGTGGTAGGAGCAGAGGTTGAGGTTTGTGCCAATATTCCTGTGGGAGGATTGTAAAATGGTGCCTCTTGGGAATGGGTTAGGTGTAACTGAAGAGGCACTATCCTTGCAGAAGGTTTGTGGAATGGAGCATTTGGTCATAAGTTAAGGGTCGTAGAAGAGGCAGTATTTCTGTGGGAGGGTTTCTAGAATGGACTTTTAGGTTGGAATGAGGGTCTCAGATGAGGCAGTATTCCTGAAGGAGGGGTCAAGGAATGGTGTTTTGGGTGGTAGGAATAGAGGTAGGGGTTTCAAGCAACATTACCAAAATGAGTTTATGGATTGGGCCTTTTGGGAATGAAGCAGGCAATATTCATGTAGTGGGATCATGGAATACTGCCCCTTGGGCATGAAGCAAGCGTGGAGAAGAGGTCAATGTCCTGTAGGCGGGTTCCAGAAATGGGTATTTGAAAATTGGGGTTTGAGATGGATGTCTCAGTGAGGCAGTATTCCTGGAGGGGGAGGGGATTTGGTATGGGGCCCCATGGGAATTGAGTAGGGGTCTCAAAAGAGTCAATATTCCCGTGGGGGGTTGTGGAATGGGACACTGGGGGGAGGTGCCGCTAGAGAAGCAATATCCCAAGAGAATATGTTGCTTTACCTCAAAACACATTGGCTAATGTAAACAGTGGAGCCAACCCGTCTGCCTTTCATATAAGTTTTTTGGTTTACTCTTTTTGTTTCACACACACACACCCGCGCGCCCACACATACTCACATATACTATTATCTACAAAATCATGTCGAATAACAAGGAATTCGGACTTGCATTGATGGTTAATTGGTCATGCAAGCATTATACCGACTACACTACTCAGGCACATCAAAATCTGCTTATCAAAGCGCAACCAGTACTTACTAGCACTTCACCTTCGTTCTCATATCAACCTGTCACAGATGCACTTAGATATTTTAAGTATATATGTAATCAAATATGAAACTGTGGAAAACGGCGTGTTATTAATATCACGGTTATATTCAAGCTTAAAAGGAAGCCACGTGCAACTGTAACAAGTTGATGGTAGGACGAAGGGAAAGTGCTTGCAAGTACTGGTTATGCTTTGATATGCAGATGATTATCTGTAGTAGTTGCTTAGATGGTATAATGCTTTTCCACGTGGCCAGCTTATATATATATATATATATATATATATATATATATATATATATATATATATATATATATATATATATATATATATATATTTGTATATATGTGTGTATGTATGTATGTATGTACGTACACCTAGGTCTTTCTCCTTTTTGAGTTATTTCATTCCTGTAATCAATAAAAAAAAAAGATATATGAGGTGATGAAGGAGGGAAAACTCTTGCCCAGTGCATGTGGAGTGCCACAGTGCCAGACGTTGGCACACGTCATTAGAGAGAGAGAAGAATACTTCAAGTTTGGCATTTGGGGGGGAAAGGGGGTATTTATTGGTAACGGAGTAAATGAGTAAGAGTAATGGGGTGATGTGGTCCGTTTATTTATTTATTTATTTATTATTATTATTATTATTATTATTATTATTATTATTATTATTATTATTATTAATGTTGTCATTATTATTATCAGTATTTTTTATATTTATGTTTGTGTGTGTGTATGACAGAGAGAGAGAGAGAGAGAGAGAGAGAGAGAGAGAGAGAGAGAGAGAGAGAAGCAATCGAGTAAGCTCTCAATCTTTTTATAGGGAAAAGAGAGAGAGAAACAATCGAGTAAGCTTTCAAGCTTTTCATAGGAGAAAGAGAGAGGGAAAAAAGATAGAGAAACAATCGAATAATCTCTCAAACTTTTTATAGGAGAGAGAGAGAGAGAGAGAGAGAGAGAGAGAGAGAGAGAGAGAGAGAGAGAGAGAGAGAGAGAGAGAGAGAGATTAATCTTGCTTTTCTCCCCTATCTTGACTTGAGCAGACGCTGTGCCAACTTTGCTCTCTTAACTAAAATAGAGAGGGAACGCTTCCCTCCTCCCCCCTGTTGTTGTTGTTGTTGTTGTTGTTGTTGTTCTTCTTCTTCTTCTTCTTCTTCTTCTTCTATAAATAAAATATGTAAATAAATAATTACATAATTATCATACATAACTATATATGTGTGCGTGTGTGTGTGTGTGTGTGTGTGTGATTACCTAATTGTGATTACCTAATTGTGTTTACGGGAAAGAGCCCAAAGCTCGTATCTTCCCGTCTCCTGATCGGTTCCATTTTATACTTAGTGATACTTATCATACCTGTCCTTAAAAGTATGGATTGAGATAGCATTAACTACCTCCTCGCTTAGCCAATTCCAATTATCAACTACTCTTACACTGAAAAAGTATTTCCTTACATCCTGCAAAGAAGTTTTCTTACGGAGCTTCAAACTATGACCTCTAGTTCTAGAGCCAGCCATATCAAAATATCGGTCCCTATCCACTCTATCATAACCATGAAGGAATTTAAAGACTGTCACCATATCCCCCCTCACTCTTCTAGCTTCGAGTGATGGTAAGTCTAATTCCCTCAGCCTCTCATCATAACTGAGATTGCGTATTTCTGGCACCAGTTTCGTGGCATGTCTTTGAACTTTTTCAAGCTTAGCTATGTGCTTTTTCAAGTGCGGATTCCAAAAGGGGGCTGTGTGTGTGTGTGTGTGTGTGTGTGTGTGTGTGTGTGTGTGTGTAAAGTGATTGACGAATAGAAATGAAATACATAAATATACAAATAGATAAAATTTATGAAGTTGATATACAAAAAGAAAGTAAACAGACAATTGAATAGATAATTAAGTAATTCGGTTATCTGTGTCACACTGCGTTCTGTGTTACACGGCGTCCTGTGTCACGCTGTGTCTGTGTCATGGGGGGGGGGACGAGTGTAGTTGACCAAAAGCCCTTGACCGAATATTGTCTGTTTTGCTATACGCGAAATAGGCGATTGTCGGTGGGGTTGGAGACGCCAGCGTGTGTGTATGTGTGTGTGTGTGTGTGTGTGTGTGTAGAGATATCCCAGTGCTTTTGTGTATGTGTAGAGATATCCCTGTGCGAGCGTGTTTGTGTGTGGAGATACCCCTGTTTGTTTGTGCGTGTAGATATACCTCTGTGTGTGTGTGTGAATGTGGAGATACCTGTCTGTGTATATATGTGCGTGTGGAGATACGTGTGCGTGTGTGTGTGTGGATCTCTCTCTCTCTCTCTCTCTCTCTCTCTCTGTATATGTATGTGTAGACACATATATCTATTTATGTGCGTTTGGAGAAACGTGTGTGTGCGTATGTGTAGATACCCATGTGTGTGTATGTGCATATGTGCGTATGGAGATATCTGTGTGTGTGTGTCTACTGAACCGTCATTTTAATTACCTGGGGAAACCGCGTACGGTTTTGCATTTCCTGTTGGTCAGATGCAAACGCGCGCGCGCGCGCACACACACACACACACACACACACACACACACACACACACACACACACACACATATATATATATAATATATATATATATATATATATATATATATATATATATATATATATATATATATATTAGATTGTAATAATAATAATAATAATAATAATAATAATTATAATGATCATCATCATCATTATTACATCAGTTAGAACAAAATGAGATTTGCTAAAATCTCAACAAATAAAAACAAACAAATAGTTTTTCAGTTGCGAATATAAGAATAACTTCCGTTTCTTAAAATTTTTGTTTATTTAAACATTAACTAGAATTTTTTTTTGTACTATTATCATTACTCCTTTGGGACCTGCTATTGCGCAGTGGTTAGAGTACTCACCGTGGTTCGTTAGGCAGGGCATTTTATCTGTATTAGTATATAATTATTCCATCATCACCTTATTCTGATGTTCTGTTCCCACTATATTTATTTACTCTAAGAATTAATTAATTGTAAAAAACAAAACAAAACTTCACAAGTCATTGTAAATAT